CTCAATATTTTTTTTTTACCTGAAGTGACTGAGTCATCTCAAAAGAACACATTTCTCCCTTCCAGCAATGGAAAAGTGGTTATCAAGTTATGTTATCAAGTCCTGATATCACATATAGAGAAGAAAGGTTAGTTTTGCATTTCTGTGATTGTAGTCTGTAAATTTCTGTACTCCGTTACCACCTCACTGATATAGTATATAATATATACTATAGTATATAATAAACCTGTGAATTATCCAGGAACTTAATATATTTTTGTCATCAGCTTTATAATTTGTAAAAGCATAGGTTAAAATTCTTTCTTGTCCCTGTTACTATGAGGTTTAAATTAAATGCTTTCTGTGGTGATTTAATATGTGAAAAGAATTCAATAATGTCTTACCGGGCCAGGGATTTAGCTCAGTGGTTCCACCTCCTGCCTCGCAAGTGCAAGGTCTTGAGTTTGATCCCCGGTACCCTGCCCCCCAATGTCTTACCTTAAAACTGAGATAGGTATTTCTGAGGATTTTAGCAATACCTGGAATTCTAAGTTAACATTGGGGTTACTGAGTTCTGAAGCTTCCCCGGGGGACAATATGGTATTGTAATTTAGAGCCAGGACTGGCATCTGACTATGGGTTTGAATCCTGTGCCTGCTTTTGCTGGACACTCAAGCTTGGGCAATTATTTTTCTGTGAACTGATATTCAAAAAGCTATAAGGAAATTGAGTGGCTGTCATTGATAACGTTTGCAAATGTCACCTTTTTTATTAGTACATGTTTAAAACACAGAATATCGATCGTCTTTGGGGGAGGTGGTCCATGCATATAATATATTTGGATCGTTTTCAGTCCCTTTACCACCCTCCCTTTTCTCTCCCTTCTCCCTGATTCCTTTTCCATCCCTAAGGGTGGGCCTGTTAGTTTGCTATCATATCTCATTTATTTATTTATTTATTTATTTATTTATTTATTTATTTATATTTCAGGGTTCATAGAGTAAACATGCCATATTTAACTTTCTGAGTCTGGCTTATTTTGCTTAAAATGATAGTCTAAAATTCTATCCACTTTCCTGCAAATGACATTATTTTTATGGCAGAATAATATTCCATTGTGTATATGTACACATACCATATTTTCTTTATCCACTTATCCATTGACAGGCATCTATACTGTTTCCACAGCTGTCTTATATATTTTTTCCTTTCCCTTTTTTCCCTTCCCCTACCCCTCCCAATTCCCCTGCTCTTTTAGACCTTTTCTTCCTGTTACACAAT